CATTCTGAGTGAGGTAACCCAGTCACAAAAAGACAAAGACAAACATGGTATGTACTCACTCATATGTGGATTTTAGAGATAGAGTAAAGGATTACCAGCCTACAATCCACACCACTAGAGAAGCTAGGTAATAAGGAGAACTCTAAGAGAGACCTACATGGTCCCTCAGAAAAGGGGAAAGGGACAAGATCTCCTAAGCAAATTGGGAGCATGGGGGCAGGGGAGAGGGAACTAGGAGAATGATAAAGGGAGAAGAGGAGGGGTGGGGAGGACATGATGGGGCAGGGAGGTTGAGTTGGGGGAAGAACAGAAGAGAGCAAGATAAGAGATACTATGATAGAGGGAGTCATTATAGGTTTAAAGAGAAATCAGGCTCTAGGGAAATGTCTGGAGAGCAACAACGATGACACCAACTAACAGTCTAAGCAACAAAAGAGAGGTTACCTTAAATACCCTCCACTGATAATGAGATTCATGACTAACTTATATGCCATCCTATAGCCTTCATCCAGCAGCTGGTGGAAGTAGAAGCAGACACCCATAGCTAAACCTTGAACTGAACTGGAATCCAGTTGCATTGAAGGAAGAGTGATGAGAAAAGGGGGCCATACCAGGCTGGTGAAACCCACAGAAACAGCTGACCTGAACAAGGGGGAGCTCTTGGTGCCCAGAGTGGTAGCTAGGAAACCAGCATGGGACTGATCCAGACCCCTTGAATGTGAGTGTCAGTGGGGAGACCTTGGAAATCTATGGGGGCCCCTTGTAATCGACCAGTACTTATCCCTAACATAGGAATGGACTTTGGGAGCCCACCCCACATGGAGGGATACTCCCTGAGCCTAGACACAAGGGGGTGGGCCTAGGGCCTATCCAAAAGATATGACAGACTCTGTAAACTCTCTATGGAAGACCTCACCCTCCCTGGGGAGCAGAAAGGGATAGATAGGGTGTTAGTTGGGGAGGGGGTGCTGGGAAGGATGGGAAGGAGAGGGAACTGAGATTGATATGTAAAATACTCTTTCTAATTCAAATAAAAAAATAAAAAATGAGTTTTACATACTCTTAAACATATGGCCAAGCAATTTCTATTCCTAGGTATATATATAAATTTTCTTAGCCACTTTGTACATAGTTGCCAAAAACTTGGAAGAACCCAGAAGTTTGTAAATAAAGTAATGTTTTAAGGGAGGGGCAGTCACACAATCAAAAAAAAAGTAGAAGAGGGCAAAGGGCAAACAATTGAAAATCCAAATTAATCTGAAATTAATATGCTGAATGAAAAGAGCAAAGCTCAGGAGAACATACTGTATGATGCCATACATTTGGAATTTTTTAAATGTCAAAATTATCTGAATAGATTAGTGGGTGACACCAACTGATGTGACTGGAGGCATTGATTACAAAGAGGCAATGTAAAGAAAATGTTTCAGAGAGCTTGTAATATTTTGTATCATGACTGCCATGATAGGTTTATGACTATATAAATTTGCCTCACTAAAACCATATTTTCAGAAGCGTGAACTTTACTGCATGAGACTTAAAAGGAATAATAATAATTGTATAAAACGGACAATGTGAATGCAGACACATTGGTTGAAGATGTATGTGGTTTTCATTAGATTCAACTCTCCATTTTGTAAATAAAAACACCAATTGCTGATGTAAAATTCAAAATTTTAATATTGGAAAAAATGAATCATATCTGAATTCATGATAGATTTGTGTACTCATCCAATTTGTAAAACAAAAGATTCAAAGAATGAATAGTTGTTAGTGAATTTTCAAATAAGTTAAGCAGCGAGAACATTACTAATGCATTAGCCTGGATTTAAGTATGACATCAAGTATGTAGGAACAGTGTCATATCAGATTTTATTTGAAATATTTCCACATGAATATATAGTCTCGGCTATTGGGAACATCTAAAGAAGTAGTCATTCTTAGAATCTGTTTTCTTTAAGTACTCCTAAAGCAACAAATTTAAATATTTAGTCATTGCTCTGATTACTTGAATATGAAATACTGAGCATAATTTATCTTTTTTTCATTAGCTCAGAGTCCTCATTAAAACGTTGAATCTTAAACCTAAAAAGAACATGAGAAATTCAGTACTTGAAATTAATAATTTAATGTTTTATTTATATTACCAATATAAATATTACATTGTTGAAAATTTGAGAAAAGTGAACCAAAATTTCTGTTTTGTTGGAACTGAGATTAATTAGTAGGCAAGTCAAATTTTGCAACCCAGCATTTTACACAACACGAACAGTATGCTCAAGGAAATTAAGTTATTTACTGAATAGTAAGCATTTCAACTTAGGTAGCATTCAGGTTGTCTTATTCCCATGGTCTGGTGTGTGCTGGGTGGCTGGGAGATGCATAGAATGTAAGACTAGAAAATCTTGAGGTAAGGCTAAATGATTCGTGATTTCAATATTTGGTCACCCAATTCAGACCATCTTTCCATTCCATGCTGATCCACTGACTATAATCGATGGCATGCTGTTTTGTTTTTTACATAAAGTGATCAGTTTTTAAAAAGATTTTTCTAATTATTACTGATTTGTAAATGGTTAACAAATTTGGCTGTATGTTCCTTTAAGGTAGACAAACATAGCTAGTATGGGTAGATATAATGACATCTTGTTCAGATGGGTTATCTAGTTGTTACAGTAAAGAATGAATTTATGTAACTTGAAAAAATAGCTCCTTTGAGCAAAGTGTCTTTTTGCTATTGGTGCTGAATTTAAGGGAAAGACTAATATTCCTTAGCATTTCCTGTTACCAAAATTATAGATGTATTTGGTGCTCAGTCTCTTACATTTGAATATTGGTTATCAGTGGAGACATTCTTTATAAGGATCATATTGTATTTGGGTAAGTGTAATGATTGCAGTCAGCCAATAAGAAAATAGTCCATCCAGTATTTCTAGGGAGGTATCCTCACACTTGGGTATCACCTACATCCTGCAGTTTAGGTTTTTGCTGTAGGTACAGCTGCACAGGAAAGGATCAGAGTGATTATTCTAATTATGCATTCATAATTTAAAAATTTCCACCCTCAGAATCCATTGCATGATACCTGGTTTCTAAATCAGATGAGGTATTTCAGGTATTTGACTTCCATCTTCTGGATCATCTTCTGCTTGTAGTTGAACCATTTAGGTAAACTCAAGAGTTGGAAGCCATAATAGTCAAAACTGTTTTGATGGATACTGTCCCTACCTACTGTTACAATCATCCTTGAGTGTTTGGTCAAGTTGACATCCACATTACTGAACATCCTTCAGAACTCTCCTTCAGAAAGTTAATGGAGGTCTTTATTTCTAAATGTTCCTCAAAGATACTCTACTGTTATTTCTCTTGTGGCCTCTCCTACATTTAATTTTCTCTAATCAAATCTCTTAACAGTTAGAGAAGGGCTTGTGTGAGCAAGGAAGAAAGTAAAAAAAATAACAATAACAAACTGTAGTATATGGTTATATTTTATAGTTCACTGATTTTTATTGGATATATTTACTATAGTAAGTATTCAGAGTAGAGTAAAATAATTTGTATTTCCATATTAATGAACTTGATTGTTTTAATACATTATATACTTGGAAAATATTTAGTTTGACTGAGGTTGTTTTGTTATGGCAGTTTTCCTAATTTTAATGAACCACTTTCCTCAGGAAAGTCTTTGTGTGACAGATTTTTAAATAAAAACCTAAAGCTCCCTTAATCAAATTATAAATGTTCTTTATAAAATGCATTACTATGATTCATCCTTTTAAAAGTAGAGTTTGCCCTACCATTTACCTGTGGAATACACAAAGTTCTTAGCCCTTTGTATTAAATATCTCATCTATTGGCAGGAAAAGTAAACTGCCTAATTTTGATTAATTCAATTGAATTTAAAAGTTCAGAGTTTCATCAGGCGTTGGCAAACGCCTTTAATCCCAGCACTTGGGAGGCAGATCGCTATGAATTTGAGGCCAGCCTGGTTTCCAGAGTGAGTGCCAGACTAGGCTCCAAACATACACAGAGAAACCCTGTCTCAAAAAACAACAACAACAAAAAGTAGAGTTTCCACATGTTTTTAATAATTTTAAAAGTTATACTGATTTTGAATTTTCATTTAAATACTATAGTTATTAAAATAATTAGTTTGATTAGTATTACATAAAGCAAAGGCACATTCATGGTTATTAGTCCCTATGCTTTGTTTCTAATTTTTAATGAAATGTTTTGTTGAGCTGAGGGTGTTTGTGAACCTTTGTAAATCCAGCACTTGCTAGAATCAGGAACATAAGGAATTGGAGACCAGCCTGGGCTACATGAGTTCCTATCTCAAGAGCAAAAACAAAACAAAGAAAAAATTTAAAAGAGAAGTTTTTAAATATATAATAAAACTCCTTATATCTCAGAATGAGAAAAAAAGTTCCCTTTGTTTTTGAGCATGGCTTCTGACTGTTATAAGACGTATGCCAGATGCTTTCTTTGACAAAGAACAGTGAGTGTCCCTGTTGATAATTGACTGTGTATGGCTAACCCCCTCTCTGGTTTTTTTAGCCATAAATATTTATTTCAGTGAAAACCGTTTTTCCCATGTACTGACACTAACCAGATAAGAACCCGCCTCCCTTTTTACTTTTACTTTTACGTTTTCTATGTTTCTGACTTTGAAGTTTGTGCTTTTCTGAGCAAATTAAATGTTTGTATATATTTTTTTCAGGGAGAAGCTGTCTCCTTTTAGCACACAAATAACAGCCCATTCCTGGGGATTAATTTATTTAAATAAATTGTGCAGCACAAGCACTGAGATTGTATCAATAAAACAAAAGTGTTCAAATTCTACACCTCCCAATTTTTTATTGCAATTTTCAGAGTATCTTTTTT